AACCATGAGGAAGGTTTTTCAGGGATTCCACAGCTCAGGCGCCGATTCATTTTAGGTTCTACCCTCACTGGTCGATAAGGGTGAGTGAGTGAAGGCCTCTATAAATCTTCATAACCACGCTGAAGTCAACTACTCAGCCTCTTTTTCCTGCTGGGAGCACTGTTCCATGCCATACCAAAGAGGACAGGCAATGTATCCTTGTCCCTGGGAATGTAAAATGGAACCTTGCCAATGAAGCTTATCCCCTACAAACAGGGTTCCTCAAGGGGTATGTTTCTTTCAAGGGGGCATTCAACTTGCCACAGAGCAATGTGTCCCTTTTCCAAAATGTGGGCAACGATTGAGGGGGTGTCCTATCGGTTCCGCTCAATATCAAGGCAAACAGAAAAAAAACCCTCTCAGTTTCCCTGTAAAGAGGTCCAAGGGTCCCGGGCCCAGCCTCTCCATCTCAAGACGCAGGTGGTCTCTGCTTGCCCATGAGGCAAGACGCCGGGTGCAGTCAAGGAGACCCCTGCGGAGGATTGGCCCAAGGTGGGTGATGAGGTGGAGGCGGGTTCATGGGCCGCAGATCGGAGAGGCACTCACTTCTGCCGTTCGTTGGAGCTCTGGACCCTCAAACTCGAACTATAGCCTCAAAAGGAGAAAGGTGATGGGGGGGCGTTCCCATGGTGGGTAGTTTTGAGGGTTCAGGAAGTCCGTTTATCTTTGGAAGCCACCCGTTTCGTAGGCCTGAGTTTTGATATACGACATCGGCCCAGCGATTTTGAGGTTCCGCTTCCTGCCTGCTCACGGCAAGTCACCGAGTGGGCAATATCATGGTTCACGGCCCGCTCCGTTGTATGACCTGCTCGTTCCGCAGGACCTGCGCGCAGCAAAATCTTCTCTGAAGTCCTTTTGCTGCAAGCGATGAGCTGCATTGCCGCTGCAACCGCAACTCATCCGTCAGCATCCACGCGCTGACGCTTGTGTTTGTGTGGACTTTTGAAATGGGAAGCTGTGCCAAAAGATTGCGAGAATGTCTGGATTGGGAGGAAGGCCGGGGTTCTCCGGCTCCGACCCCCATTCCAAGCCTTCTTCGCGGTCGGCTCCTCGTGTGGCGCCTTCTTCGCCAGGACCTGTTATATTGGCGGCAAGCAAGATTCCCACCCGCTGGATGGCAGGAAATCTCTTGAACTCCTGAAAACACAGAGCAGCAGGTTCCTGGAAGTAAAATAATCAGCGACAAGCTCAAGCATGCCCAGCTTTTCCTGAAGTTCGCAAGGACACTCTAGAAAAGAAACAGCCTCCCCCCCTGGCCACCTGCTTTCCCGCAGCCACGCAAACCTTCCAGCCTTCCCTGAGCAAAAACCTGGCTCCCCAAAACCAGCGATCGACCCGGTTCCGGCAAATTGACAACCAATTAGCAGCGATCCTGCGCCTGGTTCTTGCACACAAGCGGCTTCGAAGAGGGAATCCAAGCGCCCCGCAAAAAATAGTTGACGGTAAACGCTAGAAATGTTTATCCTCTTTTGGGTTAATTGAACCACGTTCATTTGTTTCCACTCACAAAAACCTGTTTCTTTTGATGCCCTCACATGTCTGTCAACATCCTTGTTTTTTCGTGTTCAGCGTCATGATTTTCATATTGCCTTGGTTTCAAAGTCATAATTCTCTCTAAGGCAGCGCCCCTTCGACTTCTGGGCAAAAAAAGACGCGCCAGGCCCAGTACATGTCGGGCCTCTGGTATGCGGGCAAGATCGCGGGCATCAAGGAGGGAAGTTTGGAGCTTGCGACCGTTCGGAGCCTTACCGGGCAACTGACACGTTCGTGTTGTCCCAAAATCGTGGAACCAAATGAGCGGGTTCCCTCTCTTTTTTTCTAATTAACGACTATACCTCAACAAACAACAAATGCTGGTGCTGGACGTTGCTATCACTACCCCTGAGGGCGGGGGGAACCAGAAATGTAAAATTACATTTTGAGGTTTGCAACCCCAGCTTTCCGGCAAACGGTTTCTGGGTCTGAATCCAATTTTGAGAAACACAACCATTCAATTTATAGGGCCAAACATCAGAAAGCCATCGCAAAAAAAAAGAAGAAGAAAGAGTTAGGGGTCAACGTGGGGGATTCGTGCCCACCATTTTCAACGTTGGCGATCGCCGCAGAAATGTGGGGTTCCCATTCAAGCTGGCTTGTGGAAACCGTGGCCTGCGGCCTTTTGGTAGGTGGCAAGCTGGCCGTCCTTTCTATCCTACCTTCTGACCCATTCGGTTCCACGCAAATTTCTGGAATGCGGGTACCAAGGGAAAGGATCTATGAGTAGCTTCCCTGTTTGCCGAAAGGACGCTTCGAGCATGATGTTTTGTCACATGGCGAGTGTCTAGCCCTAACGTCTCCCTTCTTTCCAGGCAGCTTCTTTCTAGAAAACCGAGGCCGAAACCCAAAGAAATCGGGCGGTTGTTGACAAAGCAAAGGTGGAACATAGGCGAATTGAATCAACCCTAGAAGCTGCTGTTTGCCTTTCGCGTGGGCACGGAAAGCTCATCAGCCGATGGGCCCCTTGCCAGGATGTGGGGCTGGGCGCTCAGCCGACGCCAGCGAACTAGCTCTACAGTTTGCTTTGTGATGTGGGCGTGACTTGTTGGGGATTCATGTCCACTTTATCATTGTTGAGGTGGTTCCAACTCTTTAAACAAAAAAACCTGGCCAAGTGAGGAGCCTGCTTCTTTAGGCAAAAGCCTGCCTTCAGCTTTGATGCCTTAGCGATCTTAGGGGGGTGACCTTCTACACAGTGGACTGGGATGACAAGGATACCAAAGACAAGGACTGCGGGTCACCAACTGCTTGGGTCTTGCTGGCTTGCACCACCATGCAACGGCTGAGCACTGGACGGTGGCAGCTTGTGTCTTACTATCCAATCTTCCGGATTTGCCCGATTTTCAACACAGGCAGGGTTATGTGGTTGTACGAAACCGTCTCTCAGTTCTCGGCAGCTTTTAGGCGGACCTTGAACTTTACCCTCGCAAGTTGCCATCGAACCTGCCCGTCACCCATCGGATGTTCCTCAGAGGGGCGCTTCCGTTGCCTTCCACTTTACTGGGGTTTGGGAGCATGAGCCATGTCAAGCAAGGGAACAAGCCAACCTGTTTGGGCAAGAGGCTAAGCACCCACCCAGGGCCACGGAGATTCCGATCAGCAGCTTGAATGGTGCGCTGGCAGCCTTTGCGTCTTTCTCCTCGACGTTCTTGCCTTCACTGGGACTTGGTGGGCAGGTTTGTGGCTAGCCGCTTGCGAGTGATAAGCTCACACAGGCCCCGCAACCTCCCAAGCCTTCAAAGCAATGCTTTGCGGATCCAACTGCTAAGCCTGGGCTGTTTAAAGGTAATCCTGAATCCTTATCTTGGTTTACGCAAGGGGTCCACTTTGCAAGCGGCTTCCCTGCAAGGATTATGGATTAGGATTGGACGACCCTCCATTTTGAACAGCCCAGTGTATGCTTGTATCTGCATAAGGGAACGAATGGCAATCAGGGTGATTGGTAGCAGAAAGGTGCATGGAAGCTTTACTGAAGCGGCAAAGCGGGTGGTTTAAGATGGTTTTCACAACCCCCCATAACCCCGACCTCTCAAGCAAATTGGGGCATAGCGTCTATGTACTAGGTGTTTTTACCTGAATATATCGATCTCGCGCCCTCTCTCTCTCTCTATGAATAGAGGGTGGCCGTATGTCCAATTTATCCCTGGGGACATTCTTCGTTCCACTCCTTTTCAGATTCAAGTGTCTAGGTCCAACCCACCCGGTTCGAGATTTGAGGCACACATGCAGCCAGGTCGTTGTAGGTTAGTAAGCAGCAACATCAGCACCATGGTATCACCGCAGTCGCACCCACCGCCGCCACCGCCGCCACCGCCGCCACCACTACTGACTATCACCACCATGGCCGCCCCAACAGCAACAGCACCAACAAGTAGAGCACCAACAAGTTTTAACCCAAATGGGCCTTGTTGTTTGCGTCGCCTTTTCCTTCGCAGGAGAAGCGAAGGGATCAGCTGCGGCGCAAAGGGGGCGGTACTCCTCCGGAGCTGGTGGCGTTGGGCAGCCCAGGCTGACAGCATTTGGCAAGGCCCTCGCTCCCTGAATTCGGCTTTTTGGGTTGTCACCGTTTGGGCGGGCCAGAGCAATCCGACGCAAGAGGTGCTGGATGAAAATACGTGTTGAGTTTGGAACATTTGTTTGGTGAACCGTCTCGCTAGGAAGTGAGTTAATCTTGTAGTGGCCCTGCTGAACTAGCCCTTGTCAAAAATCGCAGAATGCTTCATTGCGAAGTCCCTCGCAAAACTGAGAGCCAGCAAGTAATCACCCTGATTAGTGACAGGGGTGCCTGGAACGAAGGAATCCCTACTCGGGGAGGGGGGATATGATCAGGGGTCCCAACCAAGCATTTGACAGGTCCCACGAAATGTTGCCCTTCCAGGTGTCGGTCTCCTTCTTGGATGTTCAAACCACTTAGTAGGTTCTAGTCATAACTACGGTTACAACAGGGGCAACTGAGGTTGCCCACTTGGCATGGTTAGATCTGAGTGGGTTGACATGAGCATCGGGACCCCCATAGCAACTTGCAGGGGAGATTGCTTCATCGGCGCGCGATCTGCTGGAACTGGCTGGCAAGAGCATGGAGGTTGCGGAGCAGTTCGCGGCACCGCAGCTGTGAAAAGACCTAGGCCTGAGCCGGGGCAAACAGCTTTCAAACCCACGGATGGTCACCTAGAAGAGAGAGACACAGACAGTCCTCAACATCCCGAGCCACAGGAAAACCACCATGGACGCCCCTTCCCGCCTTACGAGGTGCGCTGATTTGAGCCCGGCTATGCATGTCTTTGTATCTTTGAATGATACAATAGTGACTTGGTGGGGTGCCCCCTCGCTGGCTGCATTTTCCATAATGTTTTCTGATGGGCGACTCCCACCTCAACCCCCCCAGCTCCCAGCCTGCGGCTGGCTGATGCTTCCAACTCACGGCCATGGCGGGGCGCGCGCTCGCGGCCATGGCGGCCATGGCGATGGCTTCGGCTGGGGAGGAGTTTCCGGGCCGCTACGTCATCAAGAACGTAAGGACAGGGACAGATGGAAAGAGAGGGGGACGGCGGAAGGCCTGGAGAGAGAGAGAGAGAGAGAGAGAGGGGACCAACACAGACATGGGTTTGGATGGCTTTGCTCGTGGACCTGCATGCAGAAAAGGTTGGTACCACTAGCCTGAGCAAGCAAAGCTTACATTGAATGTTTTGTTCATATCAATTTTGCACAGAAACGATCTTCTTAGATTCTTGGGCAGCACAGGAGTCACGTCTCACGCTAGGCGCTTGCTGGAGCATTCGTTCTCACAGGCAACTAGCAGCAGTTCGCTCGCTCGAAACTTGTAGAGTCCACACCAAGTTGCTGGTCCACCTTTTGGGTGTGGGAATGCAGAGATCAAGACAGCTTAGGGTTGGGCAACGGGAGGCTGTGGTTTCGTTCGGATGCTGGGGGGCAACACAAGGCTTCAGGCTTTGTTGTCAGGAGGCCCCTCCAGCTCCCTTGGAACTTCAAAAGTGGCAGGCTTCATTGGAACCCAGCAAAAGGTGGAACCTTTTTGCAGGTGGCCTTCTCTGCAGATGATCATGAAGTAATGATTCAGGTTTTTTTTTTGGGACCCTTTTCAGGTTCCTTGTCTATGAATTTCTCGGCGGGTATCCCTTGGCCCATTGCCTTGGCACCTACCGACCTGTCCCCACGCCCTACGCAGGACAAGCCGGCGCCTCGTCTCCAGCAGCTGGGGCTTCTTCGCGGACGCCCGCGGGCCCATCACGGAGGATCGGCCCTGCGCCATGGGTGCGCTCGCAGGGGCTGGTAGGGCTGCTGCCAGAAACGCTGCGTCTGCGTCGCGCCAATTGCAAGGGTTCCTTCCAAGAGACCCCTTGCAAAAGGGTTGGAAGGGTTGGAAAGGGAATGAAGCCAATTGCAAAGGCTTGGAAACCCATACGACTCAGAATTATAGGGAGGTTGGTGCGGTGAGCCCTTGCCCCCCTCGGGAGACTCACACTCGGCAAAGATCGGCACCGGCTTCTGCACAGTATGCCACTTCCGATGCTACTGGTTTCCCAGTTTTTTTTGTTCAGTGTGCCCGCTAAAATTGGCCAACCTTCCAAGGGCCCCCTGTTTCTACCAGGACCAATATGCCATCGGGGCCTTCAAAGCGATCAGGATTCCTGTGCCATGGCCATGTTGCCGCGAGGAGCACCTCTGGCGACTCCAGGCAGCTTCTTGGCATTGCCTTAGGCGCAGCGCTTGGCGTCAGAGCGGAGCCGGCCCGCTGGTCCCCGTAAAGGGCGTTGTGGCTATTTGGTTGGCTCTTGGAACTTGAACTTTTCGGTTGGAGCAGGTCGGATTTTCATGCTCGGACCCCCGCAAAGTTAGGTTTCGTGCAGAGGCGCTGTTGCAGCAACCAAGGGGGTAACCGAAAAGTGCCGCTGAGGAAGGAAACAACAGCCATAGCATCGTGAACGCTGCGACGGGTGGCCGAGTGTTGGCCCAGAGCGACATGGATATGGACCAAGGCTTTTTTGCGGTAGCGGCTGGGCCCACGTATCAGGACCAAAAGTGGCTTGGCCGGATCACAGATTCAGATAGCGGCAATTGCCATCATTGCTTTTGTGGCGGCCTTTGCTCCTGTGCCCTCCCCCCCCCCCCCAAAGCCCGGGGATGTGTCACCAGGGACCTCTTCAAACGATGTCATGTCGCTTCTCTTTGGGCCGGACTCCCCCGGGTTTTGCCTCTCACAAAGCCCTTTTTCGGGGGTCCAATAGGCCAAGGCTTCCCCAGCAACCTTTTGCCAGTTGTTCAAGGATTTAACATTAGGAAAACTCGCCATCCATGGAATGCTCATTTGCCTGTCCTGGCCAGGAATAATGGATTACATCACAGTAAGTCAAATGAATCTTTGCGGGTCAAGGTGGGCGGTCCCTGTTGCTTTTTTGTTTTTTTTGGCAAATGATGTTGACACCGCATCAACAACCCCGACAAGGTGCACCTGTGAACGAAATGACAAAAAATGGCCATCTACGGTCTTCTTTAGATGCCCCAGCTGCCAGCTAAGAATGGCCAGCCCCAAGACGGATTCCTTTTTGTTCCGCGGTCACTGGGTTTCCTATTTCAGGTGGCAACTGCAGCTGCAAAGTGACGGCAGCTACATCATCGCCAACGCCAAGAGTCATGGCCAGACATAACTTCTTCCCCTTTCCCTTCAAGCGACAGCCGTTTTGCTCCATTCTTCCCCAACAGCAAGCAGCTTTCTTCATGATTTCCCTCTGGAACGGCAAACAGGTTCCCTCCAAATTCCCTAAGCTGAAGGGCAGGTGATCCCTTGGCGCCAAAGCGCCCAAAGCCGAGGAACGGGCGCCGGCTCTGGACGGGCCCGGAATCCTTGCCCGTCAGCTTCGGGGCCGCGGCAGGGGCGACGACAGCTTTTGAGCCAGAGGGAGCCAGGTGGTGGCGCCTCGGCAAAAGATGGTTTGACGAAGCACGCGAATTCCGCAATTTGAAGATGACGTCTGGAAGCCATTGTGGACCCTAGGGTTTCCTAAAAGGTTTCATGATTCATGACCCAAGTTGGGTCCACCATTCTTTTAATGTGGCTTAAAGGTTTTGTTCAGGCATGGAACGCTTGAAGGCCCATCCCAGATTCGGTGTCTGGATCTATGTGAGGGCGTCTCTCAAAATAGTGAACGCCCCGTTGGTTGGCATTTGGCAGGGCAACAAGGAGAAAGCAACCGCTTTAAGGCGTTCACAGATTTGAGAAACCCTCCAGGACCACCCAATGTTTGTCGCCCCCCACAACTGCCCCTACTACTGGATGTGTCTGAAGGTCACCTAACCATTTGACAGCAAATCGTTGGGGGGTCACAGTAGGGACCTGGTGCCCTACTCTCAAGCAACCCTCCTTCAACCATGGAGGTGGACAGGGAGGTTACTGTTCCCACACCCTCCTGGCTTCTATGTCGGAGGGTATTGAGAAACCATGAGATCACAACCCCCACCCATCTACCTTCAAGCACACTGAAATATATGCTATTTTTGAGAAAACCACCAACAAGCTGCCAGCTGGACCGAATCCGTGGTTTGGCCTCAAGACCTTGCAGCCGCTCAGCCGGGAATGCGGGAATGAACCGAACGATTCCCTTAAAGGAGGCCAAGTCGGGGATGGGTTTTTCTCGGTCATTCCATGTCTCATTCCCTGCATCTCTCGCACCAAGTTTTGGAACCACCAAAACAAGTGCAAAACCCCCACCGACCTTTCAACCACCTCTCACCCACGAAAACACAAAAATAGTACCAATAATTAATAATATTCATAATCACAATAATAATCATAATAATAAGCATAATAGCAATAAGAACAGTAATAAGAATAGTAATAATAATAGTAATAATAATAACAGTAATAGTAATAATAATAGTAATAATAATAAGAAGCAACAAAAAGAACACCAATGAACTGCTGCTTGGACCCCGTGATTTGGCCTCAACAGACCCCCGGCCTTCGGCCCTCAAAGCCCCCCCCCGAGGCTCATCGACCAGGACCGGGACCGTGCGGCGCTGCTGGCGCTGCAGCTGCGCAGCGAGGCCCAGAGCCGCCGGAGCCTGGCCGCGAGGCGAGAGACGCGGGACGGGTGCGGAGGGGAGGGGAGGGGAGGGGGTGGGGGCTGGGGTTCAAGCAGCTGCTATGGGTAACTTGGGGGGAAACCACTAACTTTGAAACCTCGTATGGAACCCTGGGTTCCTGATATAGCGGTAGCTGGAACTGGGTTGGGTGACTTTCTTAAAATGTATAATAGGGACGGGGGTGCGTCATGGAGGATTCTGCAAAAATGCATGTTTTCCTATTCTCCTTGGGTCCTTTTGGCCGGGGGAGGCGGTGCGCGGTGCGCATTCTCGGTTGCATCCTGCCAGTATCCGGACTTATTTCACCCGTAAAGTGGTGAACAAGTCGGTGCTGGGAGCCGCCCGTTTCTGGTTTAATCATCTCCTTTGGACTTGTAGCATCCACTTTCACCCTGGCGTCGAAAGTCGCCAGTACACTTAGAGCCCACTTAGGATGATGACATTGCTGCTGGATCAGCGTCGCAACCTGGAACCGGTTTACCCAAGACTTGGGAACTGGTTTTTGCCCATTGGCTCGCAGCGTCGCCCATCTGCTTGATCTTAAGCCCACAAACGTGCAAGGGGACATGGCCGAAATGGCAGATGAGAGCAGATCACGGCTTTCTGCAATGGTGCAATCCTTCCTTCCCCTCCCTGCAAGAACATTCTGACGCATCCCTCGGTTTTCCCCCCAAACCAAGAACCAATCATCCAGTCTTCCCCTCCCCCCTTCCCGCTCATCTCTCCTTGAACGCGATTTCCGCAAAACAAATACAAACAACAAGCCTCGAACTGCCCGAACTCAAATCCGACATTGCCTGAAATTCTGTTTGCTCACTTTCAGGGTCCAAACCCAGGGGCATGGGACCCGGAGGGCCTTTCACCCCATGGTTGCATGTTTCGACCTATGGATTCGGATAATCCAAGCTATCGCAGATTTCGTTTATTTTTTTCCTCCCCTGGCAACCGTAGATATTAGACTTTATTCCGTTTCTGGCCATCTACTTTTCACAAAGGTCACCTATGCCAACGAGCAAACATAAGTTCCACCGACTGGTTGGGATCTTTCTTTCCAAGACGCGAGCCAAAAGTTAGTTCGAGGTTGGAGGAGCAAGAGGCGCGGGTGAACCAGCTGGCGGAGCTGAGCCGCCCTTTATGCGACGCCTGCGACGAGCCGTGGGACTGGCAGCGCAGTCTGCTGCTGGCGGTGCTGCTGCTGGCGGCCTTCAATTGGCACCTCCGGCGCCAGCTTCGCAGGGCCCAGGTGCCGGGGCCCCCGGCTGAAGCGTGTCGAGGCTTCTCGCGCCTCTTGGTGTTTTCCTATGTTCGGTCTGTTTTGGGCCGTGGTTGACCCAAAAGGTTTAGGTTTGAGGCCCTTTGGGACAGGATGTTTTGATTGCCTTTCTTGTCTTCGTTTTTTGTGGTTTTAAAAGGGAAGCCAAGAGGAGCACAATTTTCGGGACCCTAAAGAAGGCACACACACACACAAGTCAAGTGGGAGTCGGTTTGCGTTTTGGGGCCGCCTGCTTGGTGTCCGCATGTTTGCTGCTTTACCCACCTTCCAAGAATCAAGGAAGCTTACAGGAGGGTTTTGGAAGTTGGAAAGAGGGAACGCTTCCCCATCAGCCGCAGCGTGCCTTTCGAAAGGCCCACGACGAACAATATGTTGCGCGGCTTCCTTTCAAGAAGTCAGTCCAAAATGTCTTATGGCCCCGAACTTGTGGCTTATGGCCCCCACTTTGATGATAGGTGGAGGCTTCGGAGCCAAGAAGTCAGTCGCACGCGTGCCAAAGGCCCGCGAAAGATGCGCCGGACTCGAGCAGCCCGGGGCTGGGCACGGACTTCGGGCACCAGGTGGTGGACACCCTGACGCAGGAGAAGCACCTCAGGCTGATCAAGGCGCTCGCTCCCCCGGGCGTTTGGCTTCCCCCAATCCCCCGCCCCCCCCGGACCTTGGGTTCCTTGGTGGGTTTTTTGGTGATTGGTGGTTGGGAGTGGCTGCTATTTGGTGGGTTCCTGGGTGGTTGGCAGGGGGGGGGGGGGGTCTTCCCTTGAAATACCAACATGGGGGATCCATCATTTTGAGAGACTCCCTGGGGTTGGTCCTAGTTGTGCGTTTGTTTTTGAGGGGACCCAAAAGGGGATGGTGTAAAGGAAGCACAAGCGTATGTGAACACCCACTTGTTTGGGTTTTTTGGGGCCGATTTCGTTGGATCTTCAACCTTTAGACCTTTCGCGCCGGGGGCGATATCTACCAAACAGCCCTTCCAAGTCCCAGTTGGCCCTGGGTGGTTCCTGGGGGTGACACGTCTTTTTCCGCAGGTGCAGTGCCCCGGGGTGGAGCACGGGGATGTGGAGGTGGAGCTGCTCTTCAACGGCTGCCACGTGAGGCTGGAGATGGGTTGGTCCCAGAGAACGAGGGGGGGGGGGGGTTTGGGGGGGCCGGGGGGGGGGTTTTGCAGTTGGGTGAAAGGGTCATCCCCTTTTCATTTAGACACCCAGTTGCCCAATGAAATGGGACACCCTCCCCCTAGTCAATCAACCCGGGGTTTAGTGCTACTGGTGGTTACCATCACAATTCTCCCCGGACTCCCGCGCTCCCTACAAATCAAAATGGAACCCGAAAAAATGGAGTCCGGGTTCCTTGTCATTCAGGCCGTGTTTGCTGGTTTTCCGAAATGGGCACAAAAAGGGACGTGTTTACCACACCCCCTCGTTTTGGCCCAGACTGAACCAAGCCCTGCTTGATCGATAGGGGGTTGCACATCTCGAAAAGGCGCTCGCAGATGGTGTCCATCACCCCCGAACCCACAAACAAACCTTGCGAAACCTTGTGCCAAGCGGAAATTCCATATTCCAGAACGCGATAATGAGCAATGTTTTCAGGGCGATTCAGAGTGACAGCCAGCCAGCAACCAGAACAAGCCAGCGAATGAAGACTTGCACACTGGCACCCGATTGCAGGGCAGGGCCAACAACCCCTTGCAACACGTTCCACTGTCAACGGCCTCCTGTTGGTTTCCGTTTAGAGGAGGCCATAGACAGTTTTGAGCGAGATTGCAACCGCCCTCCACCAACCCATAAACGACTCCTTTCAGTGAAAACGGGGCATGCGCTCCTCCCGCGCAATCCCCGCAACCACGAAAGTGGCCCAGGATGCTCCCTTTGCCTGGATCCCCACGCAGCCACTGTTTTCCAGCCACTTCTTCCACTAGCAAAAGTAGCTGGAAAATAACGGCAACTGAGGATTCAGGATGATCCAGGTAGTTCATGGTAGTTTCTCGTTCCCTGTTTCGGGGGGAAACTGGAAGCACCGGGCTTGAAACGGAAATTTGTTTCGAGGATCGAGCGCCGGGCCTCCTGCGGGGTGCCTGCGGCGTCCTGGATGCGTCGCTTTGAGTTCAGCCCCCAGGACACGTTGGCGATGCATTTAGGTGTGTCTTTTCTTGAGGGTTCCCCTTTGTTCGTGGGTTTTTGCAGGAACTGTCCACAATTAATAAAACTCAAGCCCATTTAGGTTCTGCCTAAAATAGCTTGTTGTTTTCTGGCTTCCCTTTCAACAAACTAAAACGGGGGCATTTTGAGAAACTCCCAGCGCCGCTTGGTTAACTACCAAGAGAATCCCCAGTAGCAAGGCTCGTTTTCAGACTAGTCATAGCTTCGGTTGTGAACGAGGTACGGTAGATAGATCAGTGTTCGCCTGACAAGCAAGGTCCGAATGAAGCTGAGGTTCACGTACCAGAAGCATGTAACCAGGTTTCTTGTGGGGAACCGGACCCTTGCAGGACGGCCTTTTCGAGTTCCGGGAGGATCAGATGAGGCAGCTCTCAAGTGGGGGGGGGAGCAGCCAGCAAATGCGGATCTTGGGTTTCGAGCTCACCGGAAAAAATGGGTGTAAAGTGAGCGAAAAAACAACACGCAGGCCATGCAGGATCCCGGATCCCGAAAATTTTGAGTTTTCGAGTGGAAGCAACAAATTTGCCGACGATTTCGGGGCAATCCGGACAAACACCCTGGGAATCCTGCCAAAGGCACGTTGTGCATTGGTTGTTGGTGGGGCAGCCACCTGGTTTCCTTGTGGGAAGGATTGGCCTTGCCACGTGCAAAGTAAGCAACATTATTAGCAAGTTCCCTGGATCCAGTAGAACCAAAAAGAGCATCGCAATTTAGGCATGCACATTATATCCACATCATATGTTGCCGTGGCTCAAGGGCAACAAGAGGACACTCGCGGGTGCTCCAGCGAGCTGATGTTGGCCTGGACCCAAATAGCCTATTAAAGCCTAACCTGGGCTGTTCAAGGGGGTTCCTTGTGTGGTGGTTTCCGAGTATGATTTGTTAATTGAATCAGGGTTGGGAATGCCTCCATGTTGAACAGCCCATCCAACTGGGACTGGGTCCAGCAAAGTGATAGATATTCTCAAATTCATTCTCCGAATAGTGAGCCTGGAGAGAGCTGCCAGGGTAAGGACATCTTGACTGCTACTGGGTTGGCTCTTTAGACTTTAACTTTTTGGGAAATCAAGGGGTTTTCCACTAAACCCGCAAAAAGTCAAACTTTTGCAGGGGGGTCAACAGCAACCAAGACATGGGAGCTCGTCCAATCGCAGGCTGGAGCAGGGCTTTCTGCACCTCATCTTCCAGCACCGCTCCTTTCAAGCGCGCCGGATCCGCTTTCCGCAGCACTACGCGCTCTCGGCCACGGATACGGACCTGTGGTGGGAATACCCCGAGGCAAAGCCTGCGCAGGATCCTAGCCAATGACTTTGCAAGCGCTGAGGTCTGATAGAAACTTTTGGTACAGGTGTTGGGTTCGATGGGGCCCACACTATACCGGGGGGGGAGGGGGGCGTCACCATCTCTGCTGTTCTCCAGCTAGCTATGGCAGGGTTGTTTCACGGACCTCACTTCAGCTTAAGTTTGTACATGTGGAATTCACTTCAAAGAGCGCTCTCATGCTCGGTTTCGGTTGCTCTTAGTGGATGTGGCATGAGGGTGCTCATTGATGCTCGTCGCTCTCATGCGTAGCCGTGGCAGTTTTCTGTTTGCTGCTTTCATGGGGCTTTGGCACCCATCTTCGCAGCGGGTTGAGCTCACACGGTCGGTGCGGTGCATCACAATGCCGTGCCCGCGAGAGCAAAAGGCGGCAGTGTGCGTGGGCAAACGCTCTTTTGTTGGGGCCTACCCCACTTGGCAACCAAAGTGCGTGCTTCCATGTCTGGGTCAGCTTGGGGAAAAGTAAATCTGAACCCTCCCACCAGCGTGGAAGATGACGATCGGGAGGTTGTGGAAGACTTATAGCCGTCTGTAGGGGAAGGCCCCTGCCCACCACTTCCGTGGTTGGAAACAGGGTTGATTTCCGTCCTTTGACTTTTCGCAGGCACTGCCCGAGAGAGACCCCCCCCTCGTTTCAAGCCCCCTCCCCAAAAGGTTTCACCATGGATTCGTTTCGCCTCTCCGATTTGTTGCGGCACAGCTACATGTTTTTTTTTGTTTGGGCGAATGCTTGTGCCATCCAAATGCTCAACAGTGTGTTGTGAAATTCCCAATAGTTACGGCAGGTCGAGGTACAAGCCACGTAGGTAGAAGTGGTTGTTGTAGGCGTGCATTCTTGCCTTTGGCCTAGGGGGCGCAATGTTGAGGACGCTGCAGCCCCAGCGGGCGAAAGGGAGTCGGGAGGCTGTTCCTTGCGTCTAAGCCCCTCGCGAGTTCAGAGGAATCCGACGAAATCGTCCATTTGGGCGTGTCCTTTGTTAGGGGAAAGCCCCCCCCAAAAAAAAGCAATGGCGGTTTTCCTTGTGGTTGGCCTTGAAAGCCACCAAAAATGGGATACCCGCAAACAAAGACAACCTCCTGTGGCATGTTTGCTGCCCTGCCTTGGCAATCTACGTGTTCATCGTCCCCAAGGCTTCCCATAGCAAGTTGACTTCGTTCGTCCGAGCTTTGTAAGCATTGTAAGCAGGGTTGGGAAAAGGGTTCGGTCGGCGATTGGCCCAGTTGCTTAAACCATGGCTCAAACCACCCTTAGTTGAAGCTGAAGCAACTTCTACCCGGTCGCCGCTGTCCGCTTTTCGCTTTCCGCGGGACCGGGGCAAAAAACACCGCTTGAGGTGGAGGTCTACCGCGAAGCGGCGCCCAAGGACTGGGCGCGGATCGTGAGTTGATCCCTCAGTTGCCCAAAGCGAATCGGCCTGACCTTTTGGTTTCCCTTTGGTCCATGTTTAGTCAAGGTTCCAGAGGGTGATCACCTTTTGTTTCTGGGTCCTTGGGGCAACTGAGTTCCTTATGTGTTCCTTTTGGTTTCCTTGTTGGTGCTATGGGCATGTGCTGTTTGGGAGGTTCCCTTTTTGGACTAGCTTTCCGGGAAAGGTGTTCAAAAGGACAATCATCGTTTTGCGGTTCCCCCTATTTTGGCACACCCTCGATGAAAGTCCTCGTAACATGCTGGTTTTTGCGGGACTCCGAACCGGTTTGCAGGCATTCATGTGCAAATGTTGAACCAGACAAGAACGAAGAGAGCTGGGTTTATACATACATATATTTATATATATAGACTACATACATATATATATATATATTGTATCATATGTATATATATATATAGTTGTTTACCTTCCTGCAAATTAATGTGGACCTCTTTCGGGGAACCTCTTGCGGTGTTCCAGGTAGATTTGCAGGGGAGGTCGATTTCCCGCAGCAAAGGGATTTACCAAGTTATCGGTTCGTACTCGCCTCGCAGTGCGGGCTGCTAGGCTACAAGGGGCTCGAGCGAGCCGTGGCTCATGGCTCATGGTGTGGGACAGCAGCTGTCTAGAAGTTTCGTCAAGGGAGCCTGTCAGGGACCCAGCATTGATGACAAAATACGATACCCCCTGGTTGATTCATAGTGAGGTGTCTCACGGTAATGTAGGTAGAGGCCAGTGGCCAGGATTGTTAATCCTGGGTCGGCATCAGCGGCGCCATCCCCTGCAAGAAACAATCTGATAACAATTTTGGGACTTGCCGGCAATTGGCATTCGGGCGCTTGCTCACAAAAAAGTGCACTCAAAAACCCGACGTGAGCAGCATTCATGCCCATCGTGCCTCGAGGACGCTTCGACGCAGTGCGTTGCCTTCTGCAAGGAGGCGGGTCTGAGAATTGGAGCGTTGGAGGGATCGCCTTGCGAGTGCCGCCAGGAGGGAGCCCTATTTTTCATGAGTAAAATCCCATTGATTCATCAGGCGGGTCCGCCTGGAAGAAAGAAATCCCCGCAAACGAGGGACCCCCCATGATCAATGGGAGGTTGAAATTTACAAGGAGGGTGTGCCACCTTCCAGCTACAGGCTAAGAAGTTTGTATGCTCACTAAGCAGGACCGATGAAACCACGAAGGCTGACTTTGGGAGGGTTGTGAGGCAGGCATTTTTGAGCAACGGGCATGTCAGAATGGAGCTGCCAAGAATGTCAGGGGCAGGCCAGGATAGTAAACTTGTTGTAAAATTATAACGAGCTTGGGGGTAAACCGAGCTCACCCAGGAAGGTCGTTTGCGAGGGGGGTCCCTAATTGGCGGGTTGGGAGTAGCAATTTTCCCAGCGCCCAGCGGGCGCACTGCCGCACCGGCATGGGCGAACTCGTCTACGGTCCTTTTGGCGCGTTTAAGCTTTGCAGGCCCAAGGTGACTTTCCGGTAGTGACGGTTTAGCTTAGGGGGAAAGGAATCCAATAAGTAGGCAGACATGCAGAGGGAAGTAAGTAGATTAGCACGAGAATGAGATGATGTGAAAAGAGCTTATTCGTAGACACGCGCATACTCACACTAGCAACAAGGGCTTTATGGTTGTGGGATGTTTTGGCACATCATTTTGTTGACCATTTTCTGTGATACGAAGGGAGTCCCCGAGCGAGGGAGCCACCCTTGGCATTTCGGTCGCTTGCCGGCTGGGCGATGCTTGCAAGGCGGTGATCCGTCAGCAGGTGAAGTACACCAAGCAGGAGGCGCGCTGAAGGCTTTGCGGGGAACCAAAGGCCCCTGAAGCCACGCTGTCAGGAAAGGTTCATACAACCTTCTCAGATGAACATCTGGGGTGTTCCGAGGAGGTGTCTGGCGCTGTAGTTTTGGGGGCCCAGATTTGGCTTGTCCCGTTTTCGGGCACCTACAAGCCTTTTTGTCTGCGTGTTGGACGCACCCAGTTGACTGACTCACGAGGAGCATTCGCTCCAAGAGGCAGGCAGACAGTTTTGCTTCCAGCTGTTTGCACGACGCATCTTGTGGAAAAAACGCGTGCGTCGGGGGGGGGGTTCATCCGCAATTTAGCCTCAGACAAGTCCCATGCAGACTTTTAGGTTTGCATCGCCATGGTGTTCGGGGCGTGTTGGGTGGATGTGCGCTTTGGGTGTCCTCCCCGCCCCCCCGTCCGTCAAGGTAAGGGAAAACGGGATGACTTCTGAAGGTTCAAAGTAAGGTTGAACGCTGGCTTTGACCTCCCATCCGGCCACTTGAATGGTCCAAGCACTCAAAAACGCCCCCCCCCCCCCAAAAAAAAAAAAAACCGTGAGCGGCTCGGCGGGGTGCGGATGCTTCGGCCAGGGCCCGAAGTTCGATGAACAGGGCTTCAGCCGCCGCGTGGGCGACGAGCTCTTGGCCTTCCAGTTGGACAGGCGCGTCTCGCTGCGAATCCCGGGGTTGAGGGAAAGCGGTGGAAGCCCCGTGGCATCAAGTTGGAGAACCCGGCAAAACAATGCGCCGCTCCCGCCGGTTTGGCTGGATCTGGTTGTTTAGGGGTTGGCATGCACATGCTTCGTAGTCTCTGGGAAGTTTCGAAGAAATGGTCATCTTCCCCCCCTGTGGGGGTTGTGAAGGGAAGCACTTAAAATCAGCTGTTCTTGCCCTACCTTGCCCTTCTCGGTCCATGCGCAGATGGAGTCGCCTGGCGCCAGGACGCGGCCGCTGACTCCCATCGTGCTTGAGAAGCTCTCCGGCACCGGCCCGGCCCAGGTGAGGTGCCCTGCACCAGGAGATCTCAAAGATTTCTCAAGCTTTCAGTCGCATCCCCCAAGCCCGCGGGATGGGAGGGTGGGTTTAGGCCAAGAGGTTCCCTCCGGTCAGTTCAGCTTCAGCTTTGGGGGCAGACGTCCGGAGCGAGCGAACCCGAAGGGCTCTGACAGCTCGGCTTGGGGCGGTCAGGTTGTTGGCTTCGGGGGATTCCGTTTCGGGGTGGCGTCCCTGTTCAATCTAATCACCACCTTAATTTGTCCCCATGGTCAATGGGCAGGTGGAGCGGGGCCTGATTCAATTCCTGCCGCGCCAGTTACTCTAGTTTGATCTAGTTCGCCTTTGCGAGTCTAGTATGGGGCTTCCATTTCCTCGCAGAAGGGGAGACGTTCGCGACCGCAGACTGACGGGTATGGCCGCTTTGTTGCTGCGCCGGCGCGTCATGAGTTGCATGCCCCATTTCCTCAAATCCTACCCAACAATGCCAGGTGGCAGGTGTGCAGGAGGGCTGGTATTTGGACATCGTCAAGACGCCTGCCCGGCCAGTCCGGAGTTCCGTCAGCGTTTTTTTCGGGCGCGAACAAGGGTCCTGGTCCCAAGAGGTGCTTTTGACATTGCCTGGCATGGTTGCGACATTTTCGCAGAGTTTCCCTTGGGTGATGAATAGGGCGGTGCCAGGAACCCTGCCGGATGGAGAACTGTTAGATTGCCTTCAGCCAACGTAGCACCCCAAGTCAAGGGCCGCGGTGCAAGTTTGGGCGCACAGCCTGCTTTTCGAATTTAGGGAATGCCA